CTTATTACCACTTTGGTAAGCAGTTGTATTAACTGCCCTCTAGAATATGAGCTCATGTTCATTGCTATACAGAGGTTTTTCTCTGACCACAGCAGAATGAAATTAGAAATCAATTGGTGAAAGAAAACCTGGAAAATCCATTTATTTAGAAATTAAGTATTTTTTTTTAGGTTTGGGACTTGAACTCTGGACCTGGGCGCTGTCCCTGTGCTCTTCAGCTCAAGGCCAGCACTTTACCACTTGAGCCACAGCACCACTTCTGGCTTTTTTGAATAATTTATTGGAGATAAGAGTCTCATGGACTTTCCTGTGCAGGCTGACTTTGAACCATGATCCTCAGATCTCAGCCTCCTGAGTAGCTAGGATTACAGGCTTGAGCCACCAGTGCCTGGCTATGCATCAGTCTTATACAGCTACTGGGTCAAACAAAAGGGAACATTTAGAAAATACCTTGAGACATAGGCTAGAGGCATATGTGAGGTTTCAGCAGAGCAAGTGTGAGGATCTGAGTTCAAACTCTGATACCAGCAGATAGGATAGATAGATACATACATACATAGATACATAGATAGGTACATATATACATAGCCTTAAGACAAATAAAAGTAAAGTATACCAAACTTAAGAATGAAGCAACACAATGCTTAGATGTAATTTGTAGCTGTAATTGTTTACACTTCAAAAGATCTCTAAGTCCCAGCTTGTAGCATATTTATGTAATGAATCTGAGAAGCTAAGGACTAGAACAATGTTACACAACCAGTGAGAGAAAGTGCCTTCACCCTCCAAACTTACCATTTAGGGAACATCTAAAGGAATATCTGGTAATTTTACTTCCTCTGTTGCTTTTCTACCGAGACATGCCCTAGGTCACCAAAGGCATTTCGTTTGTCTGAAAATTAATGTCACCAGTATGGCTCTGTACTTTTAAAAAAGAGAATGAGAAGCCGGGTGTTGGTGGCTCATGCCTGTAATCCTAGCTACTCAGGAGGCTGAGATCTGAGGATTGCAGTTCAAAGCCAGCCTGGACAGGAAAGTCTGTGAGACTATCTCCAAAAAACCACTAGAACACCGGAAGTGGCTCTGTGGCTCAAGTGGTAGAGCACTCGCCTTGAGCTGAAGAGTGCGGGGACAGCACCCAGGCCCAGAGTTCAAGCCCTGTAACCAACCAAAAAAAAAAAAAAGAGAGAGAGAGAGAGAATGAGAAAGATTGTTGTGTAGAAGCAAAAGTCTTCTCCTTATTTTTCACCTTACAGCACACCTATTTTGGGAAAGCAGAGGACTGTATAAATCTCACTATCCAGTTTTTTATTTCAACTTTGAAAGTATATGCATAAACAAAGCCTGGATCAAGGCCAGCATGGGCTACACAGCCAGACTCTCTGTGAAAGAGAAAAGAAAAAGTCAAGTTACTATAAATATTTTCTTTATTTATACACCTGTTTACTTTTCTTACCCAAATACCTAGAAGTGGAATTACTGGGGTATGTGTCAATTGTATATTTAACTTGAGAAGATGCCAAGGCTGGGAATGGGGCTCAGTGGTAGAGTGCTTGCCTGGCATGCATGTAGCCCTAGGTTCAATTCCTCAGTACCACATAAACAGAAAAAGCCAGAGGTGGCTCAAAAGGTATAGTGGTAGATTTGAGCAAAAGCAGCTTAGGGACAGTGCCTAGGCCCTGAGTTCAACCCCAGGTCTGGCAAAAAAAAAGGATGCCAACTGTTTTTTTTAAAGTGGTTGTGCTAATGTGCATTCCCAGATTTTCCACTTCCTCCTTGGGGGCTTAGAATGGTTAAGGCATGTTTATGTCCTCCAGGTATGCACATGCTTAGCCTCCTCTGGGGGCTGTTGATGGCAGTGGCCATGTGGGCACTTTGTGTCCAACAGGCTGTTGACAGGCAACCACAGTGTCACTATTGCAGGTTCTCACTAAGTGGTATTTTGCTCTATAAGATAGATGTCTAGAAGCAGACTAGTTCTAACTAGAGGTGAAGATCTGAGACTGATAGTAGAAGCAAAGGTCAAAGTCCTCCTGCGACCACAGTCACTATTTTGAGACCACTGGGGATCAATGCAACAAGATTTTTAGAGCCACCAATGTGAAGTCTAGGCTCGTGTTTAGGATGGACAGTACCTGTCAGGCTGCAGGTGGCTTTTGATTGTATTTTGAGATAGAATGGACCAGGGCCTGCTTCTGAGCATGGAGGCTGACATAAGTGACCTGGCCAGGACCAACCAGAGAAGCAGCTCCTACAAGAGTAGCTGGCCTACTTAAAGAAGAACAAACAGCTGGGTGCTGGTGGCTCACACCTGTAATCCTAGCTACTTAGGAGACTGAGATCTGAAGTTCACAGTATGAGACTTAGTCTCCAGTAAACTACCAAAGAGCCAGAAGTTGGCTGTAGCTGAAGAGCTCATGGATCACACCCAGGCTTGGAGTTCAAGCCCCACAACCAACCAAAAAAAAAAAAAAAAAGTTCAGATATAGTGCCGAGGACTTGAGTTCAAGCCCTAGGACCAGCACAAAAAAAGAAGGGCTGGGAATGTAGCTTAGTGGTAGAGTGCTTGCGTAGCATGCGTGAAGACCTGGATTTTAGTCCTCAGTACTGGAAGTAGCACTGTGGCTCAAATGGTAGAGCACTAGTCTTGAGTAAAGAAGCTCAGGGACAGTGCCCAGGCCCTGAGTTCAAGCCCCATGACTGCTCTTCCTCCCTTCCCCTCCCTCCCCCCAAAAAGAAGAACAAAGAAAAAATGTCCTATAGATCTGATAGGTGGCCAGGTCAGTTCTGGTGCAGTCTGTATGAGACACCAGCTTAGCCAAAATCCTGAGTGACGTAAGAAGCCAGTATGAGGTCATGACAGAATAACTGAAAGGGGGGCTGGGAAGGTGGCTCAGTGGTAGAGCGCTTGCCTTGCATACATGAGGCCCTGGGTTCGATTCCTCAGCACCACATAAGCAGAAAAAGCCGGAAGTGGGGCTGAGGCTCAAGTGGTAGAGTGCTAGTCTACAGCTGAAGAGCTGAGGGACAGCACCCGGGTAGAGTTCAGGACCCACAACCAAAAAAAAGAAGAAGAACTGGAAGGATGTCCATTGGCTCCCCAGCCAGACCAAGTGGTGAACTAGGGAGCAATTACAGATGAACATGTTTCAAGACATGACCTTCAGGGACCTTCCAAGGTCTTGAGATGGAGGTTCAGTTGAACTCTGCATAAACACTTCTCTGGATATACACGGGCAAGAAGGAGACCCACTGTGGAACTGAACTGGTACAGATCACACATTGATGAGCAACAGCTAAGCCCAGTTGGGCAGTGACAGCAGCAAGTGTGTTGACATGCCGGCAGAGCGAGGGGTTCCAGAGCTCATAGGCATCAAGTAGCCACTGGAGCAAAAATTGGCCACCTGCCTAAACCTGTTTGAGAGCCAGGACATCAATTAGGGCAACCTGTACATAGCCAAGGGCCTCTAAGTCAACAGGTTTCTGGACTGCCCTCTTCTTACAGAGGGATTCCCTTGGGTATTGGAAGAGGGGATAACACCTGGCCTTAGCTCTTCCTCTGACTTGCCAACAAATGTTTTAGCCCAATTGGGGGGGGGGTAAAAACAATATTGAGTCTTCTGATTCATAAGACTGTAGGGCAGTTTGGGATTGAGGGTCAGGAAAATGCAAGATAAAGTGGTGCTGTGCACGCACACACATGCACACGTTTTGTAACAGGGTCTACTTAGCATAGCCTAGGCTACTCTTGAACTCTAGATTCTCCTGCTTCATCATTTGAGTTCTGTCACTTACTTGTGGACTATTTTTTTTTCTTTTTTGGTTGGTTGTGGGGCTTGAACTGAAAGCCTAGGCTCTGTCCCTGAGCTCTTCTGTTCAGGGATGTACTCTACAACTTGAGCCCCAGCACCACTTCTGGTTTTCTGGTGTCTAATGGTAGGTAAGATCTCATGCTGGGCGCTGGTGGCTCACACCTGTAATCCTAGCTACTCAGGATGCTGAAATCTGAGGATTGAAATTCAAAGCCAGCCCGGGCAGGAAAGACCATGATACTCTTTTTTTTTGGGGGGGGGGGTCCAGTTGTGGGGCCTGAACTCTGGGCCTGGGCGCTGTCCCTCAGCTCTTCACCTCAAGGCTAGCGTTCTACCACTTGAGCCATAGCACCACTTCCAGCCTTTTTTTTTCCTGCTTATGTGGTGCTGAGGAATTGAACCCAGGGCCTCATGCATGTAAGGCTCTACCACTGAGCCACCTTCCCAGCCCCCCATGAGACTCGTATCTCCAACAAACAACCAGGAAACTAGAAGTGGCACTATGGCTCAAGTGGTAATCTTCGTGAGCTGAAGAGCTGAGGGACAGTGCCCAGGCCCAGAGTCAAGCCCCACGACCAACAGAAGAAAAAAAAAAAAGTCTCATGGACTTTCCTGCCTGGGCTGGCTTTGAACCTCGATCCTTAGATCTCAGCCTCCTGAGTAGCTAGGATTACAGGTGTGAGCCATCAGCACCTGGGTTTTTTTTTTAAGTTCGGGTTATATTTATCAGGGAAAGCTGTGCATATGTGTATGTCACAAATCCTGTTGAAGAAGTGTTTATATGATGGGATGTGTTCCAGGTGACCAGGCTTAAAAAGGTTATAGATTATGAGGTGCTGGCGACTCACATCTGTAATCCTAGCTACTCAGGATGCTGAAATCTGAGGATTGAAATTCAAAGCCAGCCTGGACTGGGAAGTCCATGAGACTCTTACTGACTACCAGAAAACCAGAAGTGGCTCTGTGGCTCAAGTGGTAGAGCGCTTGCCTTGAGCTGAAGAGGGCAGGGACAGCGCCCAAGCCCAGAGTTCAAGCAAAAAAAAGGTTGTGGACACACCCCCTATCCCTAACTTCGGGTTAACACATAAAGTATTTAAATGCTGTTTTCGTAAATGTATATAGTGCATTGCATATGTTGAGAAAGCAGAGATAGTTATGGCCACAGAACCTAAAATCATGTCCAGCATCCTTCTGTCCTTTGTGTTATAGGCTGCGACCTCTCGTTCCCTAGCAATAAACTTGTGTCTGGAGATCACTGTAAAATTTTAGTGGATGAAAAGTCTGGTCAGGTTATGCTGGAAGACACCAGGTGAGTACTTTCTGATCTTTTCTGTTTCCTCTGTGGCTTAGCAAGCTGACAGTATTGCTTCATTCCAGTAACATCAGCTAGCTTTCTCTCACATGGTGCTTAGGTTCTCAAGGCATCAAGATGAATTTTCTGATTTCCATTATGGGATCCTAAGTGATGCTTTGGTGCCTGTGGCTTCAGTGCTCAAATCAAATATGGCTCAGAAATAAAACTTAAAAGGGGGCTGGGAAGGTGGCTCAGTGGTAGAGTGCTTGCCTTGCATGCTTGAGGCCCTGGGTTCGATTCCTTAGCACCACATAAGCAAAAACAAAAGCTGGAAGTGGCGCTGTGGCTCAAGTGGTAGAGCACTAGCCTTGAGCAGAATTGCTGAGGGACATCGCCCAGGCCCAGAGTTAAGGCCCCATGACCTGACCCCCCCCCCCAAAAAAAAGGCATTGATAGCGTATAGATTCTTGAAAAATATAACCAACTTTGGCATATATATACATACCAGAGTTGGATATATATATATATATATAAACACACCAGAGTTGGTTTTATATATATATATATATATATACACACACACATATGAATATGCACACACATACACACACTATATATATACATATATATAGCCCAGGCCTTGAACTTGGGCTCCTCTGGCCTTGACTTCCTGAATGCCAGAATTATTCACATGTTTCACCCTACCTGGCAACAACACAAAACTTGTTTAAGGTGTGTGCTGGTACTGGGGCTTGAACTCAGGGCCTGGGACTTTCCCTTAGGTTTTTTTTTGGTCAGTTGTGGAGCTTAAACTCTGGGCTTGGGCGCTGTCCCTGTGCTCTTCAGCTCAAGATGAGTGATCTACTGATTGAGCCACAGCGCTACTTCTGGTTTTCTGGTGGTTTATTGGAGATAAGAATCTCATGGACTTCCTTGCCTGGGCTGGCTTTGAACTGCGATCCTCAGATCTCAGCCTCCTGAGTAGCTAGGATTACAGGCGTGAGCCACCGGGGCCCAGCCCTTCCCTTTTTTGCTCAAAGCTGGTACTATACTACTTAACTACAGCACTACTTACAGACTTTTGGTGGCTAATTAAAGATGAGAATCTCACAGACTTTTCCTGTTGGCTTCTCAAACCAGGAATCCCACATCTCAGCCTCCTGAGTAGCTTGTATTACAGGTGTGAACCACTGGCACCTGGCTTAAAAATCTTATTTTTAATTATTTTCTTTTTTTGGGGGAGGGATCCGGTCGTGGGGCCTGAACTCTGGGCCTGGGCACTGTCCCTCAGCTCTTCAACTCAAGGCTAGTGCTCTACCACTTGAGCCACAGCACCACTTCCGGTTTTTTCTTTTTGCTTATGTAGTGCTAAGGAATCGAACCCAGGGCCTCATGCATGCAAGGCAAGTACTCTACCACTGAGCCACCTTCCCAGCCCCTAATTATTAATTTTCTGAATTACTTAAGTAATACAGAAAAGGTGAAAAGCCAGAGCTAGGGGTATAGCTTAGGATGGCTGGCCTAGTATGTGTAAACCTGGCCTTGATCCCCAATACCACAAGAAAGAAAAATGGAAAGCCTTCTAGAATACTACACATACCAGATTTTATGTGTTCAGTGTACTGTGCTCTCTGCCCATCATGTACCTCCTGATTTTATATCAGGTCTCTACTCAGAAATCCCTCTGAACAAAGCACTTCTTGTTTTTCCTCCCATACCCCCTGACCCTGGGTCTAGGACTAGCACCATGACCTTCCCACCCAGCAGTGTGGTCACTGCCAAACCCAGACCATTTAGAGCACAGCACAGATGTCCTGGTGTCTTCCAGTTGTTAGCCCAGCATTTATTTTGCTTCCCCAGAACCTGTTCCTTAAGACATGCACTGACTGGGATCATGGTTGTTGGGAGGGAGTAAAGCTATGGATAGCTTTAAGTAAAGCTCTGAAGAGGCTGGAAATTAGAGTACACTGCTGTTGCTGCTAAGGCCTCAGGATCCACAAGGGAGCACATTGGAAGAGTCTGCATTAGAACAGCAGAAATAGTAAAACACTGGGTAAAAGGTTTGTGTTGCTCGTTAGTTTGTCAGTAAGGAAATAACCAGCAAGATTTTTCTCAAGAACTTTGTCAGATGGTATTTGCATAAATACATTGTTAAATAGTGACATCATTCCTATGGCTATTTTCACAGTGATAATATTGAGCGGATTTCCTCACAGTGGTAGAAAAATTTAATAATCCTAGTTATTTTGAGTAGGGTAATTTGCCTTTTCCTTTCTTTCTTTACAGTACCAATGGAACAGTAATCAATAAGCTGAAGGTTGTTAAAAAACAGACTTGTCCTCTACAGTCTGGGGATGTCATCTATTTAGTGTACAGGAAGAATGAGCCGGAACACAGTAAGAGGAAAACTCACTGGGGTTAGACATGTGCCCAGATGCTGCACTAAAGTTCAGATGAGACTGACCAACATCTTCAGGAAGAAAATTTGTTGAAAGAGATATTTCCTATAGGGAACTTAGGGTTGGCTACATTCCTGACCTTAATGTACATGTTTATGTAGACTTTTGGTGTAAGCAATTCAAAATTGAATGCTGACTATTTAGAGACTTTCTTAAAGAATGCTAATGTAATTGTGGGCATTATATCTAAATTGGGTGGTATGAAGGAATGAATGGAGTGGGGTGGGTTGTAAAAGTAGAAGAATTGTAACTGTAGGAATAAAGTGCAGGAATAGGGGCGTAGAGCACAATGGTGGTTCTGCTTTGTGTTTGTGGGAGTCCAGGACATGAGTCAGGGAAATCCTTTGAAAAGTCTCTTCCTAGTAAGGAAAAGGAAGCGGTGGACAAATATCACTCAGGTCATATTCAACATAAACCAGGCCATTGCCTTACAGAGGAATTTTTCTTTTTTCTTTTTTTTTTGCCAGTCTTGGGGCTTGAACTTAGAGCCTGGGCACTGTCCCTGAACTTCTTTTTTCCTCAAGGCTAGCACGCTACCACTTGAGCCACAGCACCACTTCTGGCTTTTTCTACGTATGTGGTACTAAGGAATTGAACCCAGGGCTTCATGCACTCTACCACTAAGCCACATTCCTAGCCCCCAGAGGAATCTGGTATCTGTTCCTGTTTTCAGTGGCTTGCAATTATAAGCAAGGCAGGAGATTCTTCACCTTAGTCTGTTGCCTGAGGCCATTTTTTCCTCTGAGGTATGCATAGTTTTAGGTTCATAATAATAGGTCATTGCTGGGTACCAGTGGCTCACGGCCTAGAATGCTAACTACTTGAGAGGCTGAGATTTGAGGGTCATGTTTGTTCAAAGCCAGAAGTGGTGCTGTGGCTCACAGTGGTAGTGTAGTGTGCTATCCTTGAGCACAAAAGCTTGGGGACAGTGCCTAGAGCCTGAGTTCAAGCCCCAGGACCAGCCCAAAAAAAAGAATAGTTCAATTGTGTTGAAATCTAAGTCAGTAGATGTTGTTATTTGATGCTAAGTGAAGATAATCAACAGATAAGCTTTGACAGGATTGAAAAGATGAGAATAGAGATGAAATACAGCGTGTGCGTGCCCACGCATGCATGTGTGTGCGCGCACGCGCGTGTGCGCATGCATGTGCATGCCAGTCCTGTAGCTTGAACTTGGGGCCTAGGTGTTGTGCTTGAACTTTTTCCACTCAAGGCTAGGGCCCTACCGCTCTACTTTTGGTTCTTAATTGGAGATAAGAGTCTTACTTACTGAGCTGTTGTGATAGCTCTCACCTGTAATCCTAGCTACTCAGTAGGCTGAGATCTGAGGATCAGCTTGAAGCCAGCCCAGGCTGGAAAATCTGTGAGTCTCTTTATCTCCAATAAACTGCTCAGAAAAAGTCTTGAAGTGGTGTTTTGTCTCAAGTGCAAGAGCACTAGCCTTGAGCAAAAAACTCAGGGAGAGGGCTGGGAAGGTAGCTCAGTGGTAGAGTGCTTGCCTTGCATGCCTGAGGCCCTGGGTTCCATTCCTCAGTACCACATAAGCAAAAACAAAAAAGCTGGAAGTGGCACTGTGGCTCAAATGGTAGAGTGCTAGCCTTGAGGTGAAGAGCTGAGGGACAGCACCCAGGCCCAGAGTTCAGGCCCCAGGACCGGACCCAAAAAACCCCAAAAAACAAAAAACTCAGGGAGAGAGCCTAGACCCAGAGTTCAAGCCCCAGGACCAGCAAAAAAAAAAAAAAAAAAAGTCTCACAGACTTTCCTGCCCAGGCTGGCTTTGAACCATGATCCTTAGATCTCAGCCTCCTGAGTAGATAGGGTTGCAGGCGTGAGCCCCTGGCACTTGTCTTAGATACTGCTTTTTTTTTTTATATGGCTACCATTTTTTATTTGATTTATTTCCTTTTAGATGTGGCATACCTCTATGAATCTTTAAATGAAAAGCAAGGCATTACTCAAGAATCCTTTGGTAAGTGAACTTGTAGCAAAGACAATGTGAAGGGTTGTTGAATACTAGGAACAGCGTTTTAAGACCTGTGCAGTATTTTCTTGAGCTCCTTTTGTGTTCCTTCTGTTCCTTTTGGGCTTGCAGAAGCCAATAAAGAAAATGTGTTCCATGTGACCAAAGATACCTCAGCTCCAGGGTTGGGTGATGAGTCCCAGAATATACCATTGTTGCCTGCCGCTCAGGTGTGCGTGGAGGAAGCCCAGCCATCGACATCCACATCAGACCTCTTCCCCATGGCCTCTACCTCGTCCACAGAGCTGACTCCCACAGGTAAAGAGCACTCCTCAAGCTCTAGCGTGATGGAGATAATCATGGCAGTGGTACATTTTTGTTCCTTAATCCTTATCTGTGTTGTCACTGAGACAGAAGAGCCACTACAGAAGGTTATCATTAGTGAGTGTTCTATAGTAGTAAATTATAACTTGTTCCATCCCCAAAATGGTAAAGTCTAAGGGCCTTAGTTTATGCAAACAATAAAAATGTAATTCACATACAATAAATATCAGCCTGTTAATGTGTACACATCAATGTTTTTTAGTATATTTATACATTATCCATTCATCACCGCTAATTCCAGAACATTCTGTTATCTAACAGGAACTCCATATGTTTGTGTTTATTTGCCTTTCTTAGACATTTTATTTGCATGGAATCATACTATGTGTGGTCTTCTGTGACTTGTTTTTTTCACTTGACATACTGTTTTCAAAGTTTACCTTGCATAGGATATTTAAAGCAGTTTATATGCCTTTGTCCTTTTAGGCTCTTTTTTCCCTTCTTCCATGGTCACTGGGAAAATTCACTCCATCTAAGTGTGATGTGATGCTAATGTTTCCTTATAGGTATTGTATATATAAATATTCCCTGAGTTAGATTACAATACATGTATTTTTGAGTTTACTCTCTCAACTGTTCCCCAACTATGTTTTTTTCTTCCAGATTATCTTCAAAATAGTTTTTCAATTAAAAATTTTTTTTTTATATGTTGATTTTGGTCGGTCATACGGCTTGAACTCTGGGCCTGGGTGCTGTCCCTGCACTCTTCAGCTCAAGGGTAGCATCTACCACTTGAGCCACAGCGCCACTTCCTGATATATATATATA